GATGTACATGCACCTGCAGCAACAGGTGGTCGCAGAGGGAGGCACTTTGGAGCGTGTGAACTCAACAGATAAAACAGTCTGCTGTCTTTTCACCCGCTCTCGCTCTGTTCAATGGCCTCCAAGTATCCGGACAACCTTGCCTGGTATTTTGGCACAAGTCCCTTGAGTGTTGATGTCAGCTGAGAGAGGGGAGAAAAGGAGGGAGGGAGGGAGGAAGGGAGGAGGGGATGAAGGCCTGAGAGAGAGAGGAGGGGGAGGAGTGAGCGGGCTATTCAAGGCACTTGTCCTCTGTCTCCCTCTGAGCACAGAGGAGGGGGAGGCGCACATGCATTGAGGGAAGCACACTTGCACACATAGTAGTAGCAGCTGCATTTTCACAGGCTGCTCTTCAGACTGACAGCAGCAAACGGAGTTGAGAGGCAGCGCAATAGAGCGAGGGAAACAAGGCAGGCGTCCAGAGAGGAGAGCAAAGCAGAGGAGGCTCACACAGGGTTTCCCCTTACTGCCCTTTGGCTCTCTGGGACCCACAAAAGGAATCTCCTCTGTGCTCTGAGCTGAACTTGCTTTGCCAGAAGACCTGCACCCCACTATGGCAGCCCTGGTGGGACATGGGAACCCTTGTCCCCTCTCATCTGATTCCTCTAAACTGTGGACTACCTTTATTTTGGGTGTGTTGACCCTTTCGAGTCAAGTCTGGGGCTTTAACTTGGATACTACTCACACACTGCATAAGTTGGGAGACCCTGGCACCTTCTTTGGCTTCTCTCTTGCGCTTCACCAGCAGCGTAATCCAGACCCTCAGAGCTGGTGAGTGTGAATGCGGCACTGAGCTCGTCCTGTGTGTCCTGTGTGTTTCTGACTCAGGTCAAATATGTGATGTCTTGTGTGCGCACCTGCGTCTCATACAAAAGCTCATCACGAGTTCATTCTTAGGGATCTAAAATGCTAATGCCAACACAGTCAGCATTTCTGCACTGCATCAATTTGTCAAATCACTGCTTTGCTGCAGTAGTTGCTTATGTGCAGCGTCTGCACCGAGAGGAGAGTGGATGAGTGCAAGCTTCCTGAATCAGAAGTGAGGATCTGATTTCTCTAAAAGGTAGAAGAGCATTTTTAAGTCATTCTCTTGGAGGAACTCATGTCCCATGAAGTGTAGAGTGAGGAGTGTCCCTCAGTCTGTCTGGTTGTGCATATGAACCCAAAGTTAAGCTGTTGATGTGTGTTTGCTCTTTGATCTGCTGTTTGCCGGCAGCTGTTTTGATGAGTCTTCCAGTGTGACCGGAACACTCACGAGTCCTGTTCCAATCCTCCAGCAAGTCATGAATAAATGATAACAACAAGCCTGCGTGCAAATCTTCAGACGTGTTTACGACAGGACCGCGAATAAGAGGCTGCCTAAGTTCAGCTGTCTGGAAGCTTTGTGGTTAATATTGACGAGATCTGTTCCATCTGATTTGGTGTATTTTCTCTTAGTCATGAATTTGGTGCTGCTTTTTGTCAAACAGTCTCTGCTTAGATTAATACAGTGCACACTATCTGGTGAGATTCAGAAGATTAAGTAAAGTTGCAGAATTGCAAGAAAAATCATGCATATAAAATAATTACATATATCACAGCAATCTGTATTTTATAAGATCCTAACAGAGAAGAATACACATGTATTCCAACAGT